TCTGAAGAGTTCCAGGAAGGGAAAGACTTTGTTGATACTTTATCATAAACTGTGACATAGGCTTTGTTGCAGTAGGCCCTTGCTTGTCAACAGATTGCTATGGTTTCTGTTGAATACCAATCTGTACACCACCTCATGACACTTTTTTTTAATCTGCAGCCTCCGCCCTGCTTCAGAAGCCATTGATAATCTCCTGAAACAAGTGGCTTCAATAAAGTCAAGACTGGCAGAACTGAATGAGAGGCTTGGGATCATAGAAAGGGCTCCGTTTATTGTACGCTACAAGGCCAGAAGGAGTCAAAAGCTGACTAATCTCCAGCTGCAAAGACTACCCGAGAAGAGGACTCATGCATGGAGGCAAGCTCAGAGGGATTAATTTGTCTTTTATGAAGGAAGACGACTAGCAATTCCTGAGATTTTTAAGAAACCACACAATAAAAGCCTGGTTAAAAGGACATAACACTAATTCACTGAAGATGCTTCTCCTCACAAGTGCTTTTTCAACTTGTGACTATTTGGAAAAATAATTCCTTCTTCCTCTTCAACTGATGTTTTCAACCCTATTTCTAAATTCAGTGAAGCACCGTTTCTATAGAACACAAACAAAAATCTCCAGTCTTTAGGCTGGTCCATGTAGCCCAGGGGTGTCAAACTTACGGCGTCATGGCAGTGTCACGTGATGTATCAGGACTTCCCCCCCCCCTTGGCTAAACCAGACATGGGCGCAGCCAGCTCGTGACACATCCAGCCCATGGGCTGGGAGTTTGACAGGCCTGATGTAGCCCATGAAGTCTCAAGAAATCTCCTTTCCCACTGTGAGTTTTCAATCCATGTAAGCTGTGTATTCAGATTTGAAATTTTGATGCATCAACATTCAATTCAATTTTGTATTTCAAAATTATTCATTTGATCTTGCTATGAGATTCAAATTTTAAAAAACAACTCTAAAAGCCAGCATTCTTTAGAAAGAGAATAGACAGATGGTTGTTATGAGAAGAAGCAAAAAAAAAGGTCAGGAAAGTTTTGCAAGGGTATCAAATGATTGTGAAACTGATCTGCTGAACCTTGAGGAAGAATGATTGATTCTGTGGTTTTTCTGGTTAAAGGAGTATACTTTTGTTTGTTGAATGTATGTCTAAGGAGGGAGCTTATAATTGTAGCTGATTCAATGATCAGATGAGAGGAAGCAGAGTCACATTCCTCAGCTAGCAGCTCATTCTTAGCTAATACACTTTGGAAAAAGGACATGTGACCTAGGACCTTTCAACCACAAGAAGAAGCAACAGAACTAACAAAAATTAGAGGAATGGGGCAGAACTGCAAGAGAGAGAGATCAAGCAAATCAGTTTTAGCATTTGTTGGAAACCTAATAGTGAAGTTTACCACCAGGTTTGAATTAACTGAGTATCATACTAATTTCATAGTTTGCAAATGTAGGCATCTCTCTTGCTAGAAGGTAGAAGTATTTCTTTTTCAAGATTCATCAGAAATGGTGAAAATCACACAGATATTGTATGAAAGACAGAAGAAAGAATATTGGAGGAGGATCTGAAGAAAAAAAAGAAGGCACCTTATTGGGAGCAGTGAGTATAAAGATACAAGGCAGTAAATAGTCAATACTAAAGTAGAAGATGGTTCAGGTCACTGGAACGGGCCAACTGAGTTGAATAGTCTTCTAAATAAAAAATATAAATCAGTCTGAAAGCAAACGGACAAACTCAGAACTATTTGTGCATAATTCCCTCCATTTAGAAATTTTTATTCTGAATGCCAGTTTGGTGTAGTGGTTAATGCATCAGGCTAAAACAGGGGTCAGCAACCCGCGGCTCGGGAGCCGCATGTGGCTCTTTCTTGCAGCTCCGTCACCATTCGGTGCCACAATTTTGAGAGGAGCTTCCAGTTGGGGGGGGAGGAACCAGGGGAGATTCTATGGCAAGGGGTGGGTTTTCCAGTCAGCTCCACAATTGATAGGACTTTCGTTTAGGACAGGTAGAGGAAAAAGGATGCCGTGCTAGGAGGAGACTCTATGGTGGGGAAACCGGACTTCCAGTTGGCTCCAGAATTGAACGGGAGGCTTCCAGTTAGGACCTTTGTGGCTCTTTGAGTGTTTAAGGTTGCCAACACCTGGGCTAAAACCAGGGAGATTGTGAATTCTAATGCCACTTCAGGCACAAAGTCAGCTGGGTGAATTTGGGCCAGTCACATACACTCCGTCCTAGGAAGGAGCCAAAGGCAAACCACTCTGGAAAACCTTGCCAAGAAAAATTGCAGGGGCATCCTGGCTGTCTCTAGGAATTAAAGCAACTAAAAACTGAGATAGTCACACACTTGCAAAGTAATGGGGTACGTATGCCAGACAAATGAAAATATAGATAAGATTTGGGGGAGGGTTGAGGATCATAAAAGAAACAAGGGGAAAAAACCTTAATAATTTCTTTCTCTCCAAACAAATCTGCCTAAACAAAATCTAGCTAGGAGAATAGAATGGTCAGAAGAAAGCTATAATAATAAAATCAAATCTTGCCCTAAGTATGCTCTGAAAAAAGCAAGTCTGGCTAATCATATTAATTTTAGAGAATTGTCACTAATTTCCTACCCTAAACTTTTGCCCAGATATGGAAGTGGTGACCGCACTATAGTAGATTCAGCCAACGCCATAAGTGAACTAGAAGTGAAAACATCTATCCAGCTAGCTAAGAAATTCAATGCATGGAGTCAAAATGGGCACCTTCAACATGCTTCAGTTATTTTAAGACTTATGTAAATGATTAAAACTTTATTGAATCAAGATACTTCACTATAGAACTGCACCAACCTATTTCCCCATGACTCTTTCAGGAACGTGTGAATAAGTGTCTCCACCGGCTGCTGTTTTAAGAATTTGTTTTATAGTCAATCATCAGAAGCATAAAGCATATTTAAAACTTTAAAAGGAATCGGCTCATTCTTTTCTCTGGAGATATCTTCAGTAGGGCATTTAAATCTACTTGATTCAGAATATAGATGGGAAGGAAACCAATTCATATGGAAACTCTTAAGTTTTGCACATCTGCTTTATTTGTTGCTTGAGACTAATCATGAGCTAGCCAAGAACTGATGAGCACGTTCAACTAATTCCGACATTTTTTTCTTTTCTACAGAAAATTACATTTCTTTAGAATATTTAACTTTTTACTCCAAAAATAAGTGGTTCTGTATTGCCCTACAGACATTGAAGCTCTTTTGAATCCTCACAGGTGATATTTTCCAGCCTATAAACCCTCTCCAAAATACAGTAATCCACATATACCTGAAACTTTCCAGAATTTTTTTTTAAAGCATGCCACTTCCACTCCTTTGTCTTTCATTTGTTGTTGTTAGTCATGAAGTCGTGTCTGACCAATCGCGACTCCATGGACAAGGCTCCTCCAGTCCTTCCTGTCCTATACCATCCCCAGAGTCCATTTAATCACGCCTACTGCTTTGCTGACTCCTTCCAGCCATCTCATTCTCTGTCGTCCCCTTCGTCTTTTGCCCTCAATCTTTCCCAGCATTAGGCTCTTCTCCAGTGAGTCCTTCCTTCTCATTAGGTGGCCAAAGTAGTTGAGTTTTACATTAGTAAAGCCTTTATTTTAGTGCATAGCTGTGAAAATTTGTTCCATCCACTTTTTATTCATCACAATCTGTTTTTTTCCAGTGAGTGACAACTGTCATCCTGTTATCTAATTTACAACACAAAGGCCCGATAGAGTTTTAAAAAAAGCACTAATATACACAGTAATAGAGACACAACTATAACAGAGCTGACATGTATAAAAAGGCCTGGAAAATTGCAACATAAATGCAATTCCAAAACATCTCCCCCCCAATTGTTCAAATTTTATTTTAAAGTTCTTTATTGTCCTTTGGTTGAGAAAAAGAATAGACTTTAGGAAAAAAATCTTGATATCAAGTTTGTTTCCTGGTCTGTGTTCTGGTAGTTTCAGTTAAATAAACAATGATTATAGTTACCTCCTTGCCACTTCATCCATTATAACATATCACAAGTAACATGTAATAATGTTCAGCCCTTGGCATCTGCAGCTCCTACTCAGACTGGAATCACAGCATAGACAGGTTTGCCTGTCTATGATGCCTTTCAACTACATTTAAAGCAGAGGTCTTCAAACTTGGCAACTTTAAGACTTGTGGACTTCAACTCCCAGAATTCTCCAGTCAGCTGGCTGGGGAATTCTGGGAATCCACAAGTCTTAAAGTTGCCAAATTTGGGGACCCCTGATTTAAAGGGTCCGGATTAGCAGATGGACCTTGTATTAAGTTACCTGCCAGAGAAAACCACTACTTTATATCAAAGAGGAACAGCATGGAAGGGATCGCCTGGGAACATTTCAATCAATATAAACTAATTATTTTATCTACTACTTCATGCAATGGAAAAAAGCGACAGAACAAGATATGCTTTGAGTTAAGCCATTACAAAGAACAAACGTAGATAATAAGATCAGAAAAAGGCCACCGACATTAAAATGGCCTGCCTGCAACATCTGATTACACGAGAGCAGCAAAGTAAATTGGTAGCTATCCGCATTGCCTTCTTCCAATTGCTCCTGTTTCGCAAGCAACTTTTTTCAAAACTTGCTCCTGCTCTACTTCACTCAGGAAGCTTCTACCACTCGTGGGAAAAGCTTCCGTCCCTTTAATTTCTGCTGGGCACTTTAATGTTGTGCACTGACAATAAAAAAATATTATTAATTTCTACCCTTCGGACTATTGAATGCGGCAGGGGAGTGAAGTTTGTCTTCTCTTTCTCCGTTCAACAACAACAAAAATTCCTGCCAAAATATCTTTTTCCTCTTTTGCCTGGCACCCACCCCCCCCCATCCCTCCCCACCCTCTTCGCAGGAATAGGGAAACGGGCGACGGCGCTGTTTGTGCTCTGGTCCACGCCGGCTTATCCAACCGCTGGTGCTCGCTTTGCCTTCGTCCTTCGCCCTTCCCTTGCCGGGCCCGAGGGCGGAGCAGAGAGCCGCGACAGCCTTTGCCTCTCTGTCTGCGCGAAAGCCAATCGGCCGGGAAACGCTGCTTCTTACGGAACGGATCATCCGCCACAGCCCTTCCAGCATGTTTGGAATGATCAGAAATTCCCTTTTTGGGACCGCGGAGGTTTGGCCCTGCCGGGTTCTGAGCAGGGGGGAGAAGGTAGGAAAGGAGGCGGGGTCTGCCTAGGACCACAGGGATGGCCTTGGTCGCCTACTCGACTGGACAAGGAAGTGGGAGCCTCCCAGAGGGAGGGAGAGGAAGAAAGGGCCATCTGGAGGGCTTCATAATGCAAACCAAGTCAATTTTGGCTTAACCAAGAGCGATTAAGCAAGCAGTAGTTTAACAGACTTCCTAAACCCAGTTCAGTATAAATGGTACCTTGCTCAACAGTAGTCACTGTGAGAGGGATCTTGGAGTCCTAGTGTACAACCATTTAAATATGAGCCAGCAGTGTGCAGCAGCTGCCAAAAAAGCCAACACAGTTCTAGGCTGCATAAACAAAGGGATAGAATCAAGATCACGTGAAGTGTTAATACCAGTTTATAATGCCTTGGTAAGGCCACACTTGGAATACTGCTTCTAGTTCTGGTCACCACGTTGTAGAAAAGATGTGGAGTCTCTAGGAATCGTGCAGAGAAGAGCAACAAAAACGATTAGGGGACTGG